AAAGGTTCTGAAACGGGCGTCTCTTGAACGTTACTTTACACCCGGACTCTGACCGCAGCAGAAGCACCGTGAGTGTGTGGAGCCAGTTTATATTCTGTGTGGAGYTAAAAGAAAATAAATGTTTGGATAAAAACTACTCCATTCGTCGACTGATGTCTTCAAGCTGCAACATTTACTTACAATGCTAATGCTACCCTTACTCTCTGGGGCTAAAGAGGTAGAGGAGCCAAATGGCTGGCTCACTGCTGCCAACTAGTGGTCAGAGGTTGAACTACAACATAAAAATGAAGCAGGAAAGTTGACATTTTAAACCTTAATAAAAAAATCGATACAGGGCTTTAGAATATTGATACAGTATCGGGAAATGAAATATCGTGATATTTCAGTGTATCGATATTTTCTTAGACCCCTAGTTCTCAGTCAGCCAGGTTGACAGGATCTGCGTGAATAAAACTTCCTCATTCTCTTCTTTGAAATAGAGTATTCGGCTTTACCAAGTTTTTTCTCCCTTTCATTTTACAAATGACGGACACCCACAGCAGAGAACTTTACTCAAGGTGTTTTAGTCTTGGTTGTCCACCAGACAACCAGGAGACAGGATCTGGTTGTCCGAAATGAAAATAGGTTGTCTCGTACAACCTAAACAATGGTTGTCTACCCCTGCCAAATCATTTTTTCTTCTAAACTTTCTCAACAACTCTGCTAAAATTCCCATCATCCAGATGGGCTCAGCAGCCTATACGTGTTATGTTTTCCCTCCAGTCTTAACCCTCCGTGTCCCTGCCGTTCTGTGGGATTGTCGTTAGGCCAGACGGAAAAAATGAAACCCCAACTGGAGAGCACATGTGGCCTCAGCGTCAGCGGCCCACGTTTTAACACATGTCCAGCTTGAGAATTAATCAGAAGGAAACCCTGCACGTTAGGTTCACCTCCAGTGGTGGCTCGGATGCCCGCATGAGTGAAATAATACAAAAAAATATATAGTTCTCAAAAAGGTTTAGGTTGGGTTTTATCATTTCTTACTGTATGGGTGAGTTTGTGTGCTTCCACAGCAGCTCCCTGCTTCTTTACTTTTTTTATTTTGCAGTTGCTCATGTGTAACAGACTGGATCGGCACCAACAAGTTCATTTTACAAAAATAAGATTTAAAGTAGTTTTTGCTTTTCCCACCAATATTAACACTGGTCACAGACTTTTATCCAGTGAAAATGAGCTGAGTTTTCAGTTCCTAACCCTCCCAGGACTCGCTATGACTCAGAAACATTGTGGTTATGAGTGTCAGTTTTATGAATTAATTTTATTCTTACACAAGATAAACCTGCAGAGTAGACTATTAAACAGGAAGGAGTGAAACTGGACGATTCTGCAGACTGTGGTGGGCTTTTCCTTCTGATAAGTCTAACCTTGATAAAAATTAATTCATTATTGGAGTCAGCCAGCTGGACTCAAAATCTTCAACTAATGGAAATGTATTTAAAAAAACAGTTTGGCTGTTTTAAAGTGTCTGGTTGGTGTTTCTTAACATTTCAACACGTTAAGGAGTGTTTTTTTATTAATTTGACTCTTCTCAGAATGGAGTTTATATTTTCGGCAACTGAATCAAATTGTTGGGTCTGTAATAAAATCATATGGCAAAAATAGCATTTATATTAAATCATAATATTCACTTTTTTGGAAGATCAAATGAGATGTTGCTTATTTTTGTTACTTGGATTACAAGTTGATTAACTGTGCTCTAGATACTTGGTTTTCAAATAAATCAGACAATTGCAAACATTATTTTGAATCAGGAGTGGTCTAAATAACCAATAATACCAATACATACCAATAAATATTACTCAGGGTGTAGTTTAGGGATGACTTTCAGCTACTTCCACACCACATTTTAGCTCAACGTCTGTAAAAAGGACTGAGTTATGGTCATTTGTCAAGGTCATTTAGTTATGGTGACCATCTTGGTCTACGTTTGCTCCAAATGTCAGTTGTAGATGTGCATCTAATTATTAATATTTGACAGTTTCATTACAATCTGACCAGTGATTCATGAGATATTAATTATTAAAAATGTAAGCATTATTGTTCATATTTGCTTTTCGGTAGCAAAATTTAATAGTATTAATCATAGGCTGTGTCCAAAACGGCAGGCTGGGTCCTCCGAAGGTCGAATTCGTCGGCTGCATACGTCACAGCGCCGCAACAAAGGACGTCCAAAACCGAGGACTCCTCCGATGCGGCCGACAAATACGTCCTTCCTTTGGCCCGAATCGAAGGACAGGTCCGATGGATCCTTCCCGGCCCAGCGTATCCCATAATGCATTGCGGCCCGACCGGAGATTTTTTTATGCTAGTAATGGCGGACGAAGTGAGAGAAAAGAATACATTTTAAAGAAAAATACGGTGATTTAAAATTTTTAAAAAATTAGTGGTTGTAATTCTAATACTTTTATCATTTGTATGGACATGTTTTTACATATTATTTTTTCGTCATAAAAAACGCGAAATAAACATGAACCTACAGCGGGTCAATTAGTTCTTCAAAGATACTTTTAAGTTAATTTTATAGTTTTGTGACATTAATAATGCTAATGTATTGATATTTTTCTAGTTTTGATTTAAGTTTGCTTGTTTAGCGTCATCACAGTTGCTAGGTGACAAGACGTACGCCGGGGTAAGGAGGGGAGGCTAGACCATCCAAATTCACAGCCTCTTTTTTTCCGGTCTTCCCGGTCTACCAAGGACCCGGCCCGCCGCGACCGGGGAGTCTGGGTCCTCCGGAGGACCCGGCCTGTCGTTTTGGACACAGCCATAATACTGATTCTACTAACTTTCCTCCAGTCAGGCAATAATATTATTTTTGATTAGTTGTCAAGTATGAGGCTACACTAGAGGGTCTCTGCCTGGCCTCCCTCTGCATGGCTGGCCCCTCATTACTGTAATTGACACATTCACCCCCCCCACTTCCCCCTTAAGGCACTGATGACTCCATTAAGAACTGTCCCAAGGACCAATTGGACACCGACATAACGAGGTCGCAGCTCAGCTAACACGTAACCCTGCATCAAATCAAATTTACATACAGACAGAAAATATTTGATCTACACATCAGTCAAAAAACACTACATCATTAAACTAATTAAATTTGATCAAACCATCTTTTCCCTTATTTTTAAAAAAGAAGTCTCTTTCATAACAAACGAGCCACAAATACGATTGAATCATCATTCAAGTTATGCAATCCCTAAATGTTCTTCTGATGGGAGAGAGTGCAATGAAGCTCAGAGTAGGCATCTGTCTGTTTTGGAACAGTCTAATTAGTGGCAGCGACCTTTAGCAGATTATGCACTAGCCTATGAAACGAACCCCAAGCCTTGAGATAAATGGTCTACGTCTCAAACATAGATTTCAGTGAGTTTTGCCCGATTGCTGACCAAAAGAGTGAAGGGTTTTTAAGACAACCGTGATGTTGATTTTCACCAGCAGATACATTTGCAACAAGCTAAGACTAAAAAGCAAATGCTGACACTAAATGATAAACCAGGTAATTAAATAAACAAATAAATTAATATTGAAACTTAAAATGACAAAAGAAAAAGAAAAGGTCCTGCCTCTCTTTATCCATACATTTCTAAACAAAAATACTTTGTTAGCATTTTTGCTTCAGCCAAACATCAAATTCTGATGTTTTGGGCAAAAACTGATTTTAAAAAGCCCCAAATTATGCTAAGAATTCACACAAGCATCCCTATATAATCTTATCAAAAAAGAGGGTATGGTGTCATGAGTGTTGTTTTAAGCATTTCAATAAAATAAAATAAAAAAACACAACAGCTTTCGTGTAGAAATTAGAGCCAGACAGTGTTTATCTTATCAAGACCAGAGGAAACACAGGATGCATTGCAGTCCAAACAACAAAAGCAACAATTTAAAATCAAGAAAAACTGGCTGTGATGTCAATGGTGTTGATGACTGGGACAGATGTTGCAAATCCATCTGCAGTGGATCACCTTGTCAAACTGGCCTACTTCTTGCCCAGCAGCTTCTGTATCTCTACCCTGGGAGAGCAGGAAATCATACCTGAACTGAATCCATCACACAACCCATACTGAGTGGTATTTTCTGTAAAGAGGTTAAAAAGACAGCTTCTTCAGGGCCGTGCAAATTTCAAATACCAGTATTGATCCTGGCCTGTCTAAAAATAATAATAATCCTGTCTTATTTTGTTTAAAAATCTAACCCATTTCAATATATAGCTCTTCTAAAACTTGAACAGGAACCAGGCAGGAGAATATGAGCTGTTTTTCTGGAGTTAGCCTCCAAAACGCAGCTAGCTTCGAACAATAGCTCCTTTTTAAAGCGCCTTAAATCCATTTTCTCCTTAATGTCAGTAAGTTAATAAAGATCCGTGTCTGATCTGGTATGTGGAGTGCACATGGACTTAAAAATAAATCAAATTCTCTTCAAACAAAGTTAGATCGGGACTGTTTTAGCCGTATCCTACAGCCGGGGGGTGACAGATTGAGCAGGCCATCTGATGGCAGACAGGTAACCCCTTCATTAAATCTGACATGCTGAAAGCCCAGGATGGTGTCAGATTATGTGTACGGATTTCAACAAATTAAACACTCTTCTTGAAGACACCTTAGAGGCTGGTTTTACAAAGCAACAGACGAGCTAGCATTACTGTACACAGGCCATTTCATAATTTTCTAGCTACCAGTCCGACCGACAGCCATTACCTTCCTGACTGTCCGTGTAACACGATAAGACGAGCTGGAGCACGCACTACTTTTGATCAAATTCTGAACATGTAACCTTCGAATTCGTACTGCGTATCTACGTTGAACTCTTCCGAAGAATATTGCTTATTACTTAGGTATACATAAATCGTTAAGACGGGTTTTTTTCTTACCCGTCAAAGGGGAAAAAAGACGCAGGAAGGAAACGTATCACTCCACTTACCGTGAAATATTGCTGGTAAAAAAGGCGAAATGCGGCCTGCCACCACCTTTTCGAAGTATGACCCGTGTTAATTAGGAAGCCGTAGCTAAAACAAATGAAGCGGCGTCTCTGTTTACGTAGAAACGCGACATTTTATTCCACTTTTATGTTGATGTAAGTACACTGTCCACCCAGGCGACACAGCGAACCCAGCGTACAATCGACGTCATTGACATTAGTCCGTGATTGACATGTCCGTTATCCAATGGGAAGCCGTCGTGCGAAAGTAATGTCCAATTGCATTTCAAAGACGCCCGAGGGGGCGGTCCACGAGAGAGGACATGACGGAGGTGACGGCCATGTTCTGTGTTGGTGTTTGTATCCCTCCGCCTGTGTATTTACCTTTTGCATGATTTTGCATGTGGGGAAAATGCCACTGTAGCCCCGCTGTTCCATGTCTGCTTTCCGTAAGACAACCCGCTAGGCCATTTGTTTTTCTCTCCTCTGTTTTCACCACAGACCTGAAAGCCCAAAATAAACACACCTGAAGGCGTTTTTGAGGCTGCGAAACAGAGAAATCCTGAAAATTGGAAGGTGTTTGTGTCTGAAATGTGCTCTTACACCACTGTGGCAGAGCAGTCGAGTTAAAAATTCACATTTAAAAAATATTTTTGTTCTTTTGTTTAGGTTATATTTGCATACATAAAGCACACATACAGATAACCACATAAGAAAATCAATCATTAGGAATATATCAGACCAACTTTTGGATGTGATGGATGAGTAGTAGATCATTTTTATGGTGTAAGTTTATACAAAATAAAGTAGGTATAGGGCCTATTGTGCAAAAGTAACCCTAATTTCGTTATAGCCCACTTTGTTTCCAAGATTCCAGACTTTTTGTTATCTTTGAACGTGGTCTTAATCCAGGTTTTCAGGCTCTCAAAGTTTTCATTGAATTTTGGCTGCTTCCCAGTCTAGTAAACTATGTTTTTTGACCATTTAGTTTTGTTTGTTTGTCTTTTTACTGTGTTTTATGAATCATCCAGACATAAAAATGGCATTAACTTAAGAGATAAACTAGTGTTCTGTCAATACACAGCAGACAACAAAAAGCACAATAAAAATAGATCTTGATGCAGTTTTTACCATCAGCCTTGTCACAAAAGAATAAATTCACATTTTTAGTCAAATCATACCAAATTGTAAAGATAACAACTTGAGAATCATAATAACAGTATTTCAGCGTCAACGAGGTTATTTGTGAAGATTTTTTTTAGCTGAAACTTATGATAAGCTGAGGGATGCAGTTTTTCAAAGTGTTTCAGACTATTGCTGGATTTTCCTCCATTTTTTATGAAAAATAGTTTTTTCTCTTGTTTCACTTTTCCACTTTATTTTTAACCACATATTGCACATTTTATTATGGACCTGGACTGTAAAAGCAGATAACATTCAAAGAAAAACTTTGACAGACTTGAATCCTCTTCCCATTTCTATTCATTAATCTCTAAAAAAGCACTAAGATATCATTATCCAACAAGCCCTGATGACTGATCCAGAAAAAGCTTTCTTGACAAATCAAAACCAAAAGCACATTTTCAGAAATTTATCACATTTGGCTTTTATTTTTATATTTTTATTGTTCTGCTTTGTAAATGTTAGTCACGAAACGTGCACACGCCCAGTCTGATTTACATCGCCCGTTCTTTATGGATGCAGGCACTCCCTTCATCCTTCATTTGCTTATAAAAATAAAGTTTGCTCCACAAGCTGCTTGACGTGGCGACGTTAACAGCTGCAAAAATGAAGCCTGGTTTTGCAAAGTGAGCAGGTGAGGCATTTAATAAGGATGTAGTCAGTTCTCGTCATTGGACAAATCCTAAAATGCTCAAGTGGAATCCAAAACAGAGACATTATTGTGCTGCCGTGTGCATGACTGGGGGCAGACAAACCTAAGAAGGAACTCTGATCATGTGCTAACAACTTTTTTGTTTGAGCTGAGAGTGTGAAAGCTAAATGTTGAATTTAAAAAAAGTGCTTTTTGACTTCCCCTGAAAGTGACTCTGAGGAAATGTCAAGAGCTTTACTTTTTGAACCACACGACCACAAGGAGCAAAAAATACAAAATATGAGCTGTCACTTTTAAACAAAGCTCTTAATAAATTAAAAGCCTATAAGAAATGCATATCTCCCTTCATCTTTCAATGTTACGATCATTTTTGTTGCAAAATGTTCAAGTAGAGAGAGAGATTGGACTCCAATCTGTCAACATTCCAATGTGTTGGGAAGTCTCAGCTACTACCACGCCTAATTTTAAAACTTTGTCCTGCTGATAGGCTCATCAATTCAGTTAACGTTTCTCTTCTCCAAAGCAGAATCTTCCATCAACTTTCCCCCAACCATCCCGCTTTAAAAGACTCAAACTATCCCTTTAACACTTCGTTTTAWCTGGAGACCTCTTAACGTTTCTTTATTGTTTTAGTCCAGAGAGAAGCTCCCAAATTAAACGTCGAGTAATCAAATTAACAYGCAGTAATTGCCAAACAGTGCATTACTTTCCACCCCCCCTGGAGTGCAGTTGTTCGTTTTGCCTGGTGGGTCATCAAGAGTTGAATAATTATAACTGAACCGAATGGATAATAAAACAGGCCCTCAGATATTCATTTATTTAGGTTGACCCACTTCTTTTTTTTTACTGAAGAACATCATGACTCAAAGACAAAAAATAAAAATAAACAAAGCAGAAAAAGTTTATTTTCCTGATGATTTTGCTCTTTTTCTTTAACACTCTAGTCGATTTGTAACTTTATGTTTTATGTTTTTGTCCAATAATTGTAACTGGAATCATATCTTTGCCTTTTGTGCCCCAGGTTTATTTGCTTTGTGTAATGGCTCACGTATTGCCTCATTTTTGTCACATTTTATTTTCCCTCTGCACCACATTTGTGTCATTTTCTTTCTGATTTTGGTCTCACATCTCCTTTTTTTCAATTATTTGTCATTTTTTTGGGCCATTTTGAGTCAATTTGTTGCCCTTTTTTGTCTTTGAGTGTTTTTTATACAGCTTGCATTTGTATTATAAGCTGTTATTTTTCTTTTTATTGGCACAATTACAACCTGAGCATTTTGTAAACAGGGTGTATATATCTTTACTAATACATACTTTGGCTGTCAAAGTCAAAGTAACAAATACATCCTTCAGGTTTGTTTAAATGGGTTTAACAAAATATGAGAAAAAAGGCAATAAAACTACAAATTTTACTTTGTAACATGTTTTCTTGGTCAGGATTTGAAATGTCAAAGGTGACAAGTGATGCCACACTTTATTTTACAAAAGCAAAGCTCATATTTTTCATCTTTTCTGTGTCATTTAGGCACATTTTTCCCAGTTTGGAGCTGCAGCAGAATAGGACTGCAGAGAGCGAAGAGCCTCACCAAAATAAAACACGACATCTTTGGAAAAGAAAAGGAAAGAAAAAAAGCTTCACGAGGGACTTCTCGGATCTGAAACAAAATATCAAAGCCTGGCTTGATCTTTATTTTTTTATACACTCACAAAAAATAAAAAAAGACACAAAGATGAGTCAGAACCAGCACAGAAGCAGGAATCATTATAGTTCAGATGAAGAAAGCAGTGACATCTGAGAATTACGTAGCTCACACACTGCCTGAAGCACATCGAGATGCTATTTCAGTGCCAAACTACAACATTTTGTCTTAATTCTGTAAAAGATGAGTCAAATATGACAAGAAACACATGGTGAGGCCAGGAAAATAAAAATGGTCATTTTCATTTCTTAAAACTGATGCACCAGTCTAAAAGCTCATTGGTTTGAGTGAATTTCAGACTGAATTTGTGCAATAAACAGGATAAACTCTTACACACCTGGACAAAATTGTTGGTACGCCTCATTTAATGAAAGAAAAACCCACAATGGTCACAGAAATAACTTGAAACTGACAAACGTAATAATAAATATTCTATGGGAAGGAACTAATGAAATTCAAATATTGCTTTTCAACCATGCCTCAACAGCATTAAAATAAAAATAAAACACATGAAACAGACCTGGACAGAAATTATTGTATTAATTTTTTGTTGCACAACCTTTTGAGGCAATCACTGCAATGACAGGTGTTTTGTTCCACTCCTCATGAGCAAACTGCTCCAGTTGTCTCAGGTTTGAAGGGTCTTTTGTTTCAGCTCCTTCCAAAGATGCTCAACAGGATTTAGGTCAGGATCATAGAAGACCACTTCAGAATAGTCCAGTGTTTTCCTGTTAGTCATTTTTGTTTTTAGCTGTGTTTTGGGTCATTATCCTGTTGAAGACCCATGACCTGCTGAGATCAAGCTTTCTGACACTGGGCAGCACATTTCTCTCTAGAATCCTTGATAGTCTTGAGATTCCATTGTACCCTGCACAGATTCAAGACCCTCTGGTGCAGCAAAGCAGCTCCAGAACATTACCGAGCCTCCTCCATGTTCCACAGTAGGGACAGTATTGTCTTCATATGCTTAATTTTTCCCTCTGTGAACATAGAGCTGATGTGCCTTGCCAAAAAGTTTTATTTTTGTCTCATCTGTCCATAGGACACTCTCCCAGAAGCTGTGTGYCTTGTCAACAAGTAGTTTGGCAAATTCAAGTCTGGCCTTTTTATGATTTGGTGTCCTCCTTGGTCGTCTCCCATTAAGTCCACTTTGGCTCAAACAACGATGGATGGTGCGATCTGACACTGATGTTCTTTGAGCTTGAAGTTCACCTTTAATCTGCTGAGAAGTTTTTTAGGCTCTTTTGTTAACATTCGTATCATCTGTCTCTTTAATTTGTCATCCTCCTGTAGCCAACTTCCCTGGATGCCACATCCATGGAGGCAGAGTTGTAATGTAACTAAGTACAAATACTTTGTTGGTGTACTTAAGTAGAAATTTTGGGTATCTGTACTTTACTTGAGTACCGGTAATTATTTTTCAGTCTACATTTTACTTCTACTCATTACATTTTTACACAAGTATCTGTACTTTCTACTCCTGACATTTTTTAAAAAGGTAAAAAGTAGAAAGTCATTTTCAGCTCRTTATTGTAAAAAAAAATACTATCCTGTGTGTCTCCTGGATAGAGTGAATTTAATTGTGTTCGGAAGAGAAGTATAACTAGACATTGGTTTTTACGATGTAAAAACAAGTGTGCATTGCCACGTAGCAT